GATGGTACACAGCAACAATTGGAAATTTAAGACTCATCTGACTCACAAGATTGTCAGGAAATACTTCTTCAGTCATAGACTTGTCAGGAAGCGGAACAGTCTGGAAAATGTAGTGAAAGTAGGATCCATACATAGCTTTAAGAAGAGGTATGATAAAGCTCATGGAGCAGGGAGAGTGACCTGACAGCGATCAGTGGAGGGGCCAGGAGCTGTACACACGCACACACATACAAGAAGCACAACAAAGCTGCTACCGGGACTGCTGCTGCCAGGACTGCTGCTGCCAGGACTGCTGCTGCCAGGACTGCTGCTGCCAGGACTGCTGCTGCCAGGACTGCTGCTGCCAGGACTGCTGCTGCCAGGACTGCTGCTACCAGGACTGCTGCTGCCAGGACTGCTGCTGCCAGGACTGCTGCTACCAGGACTGCTGCTACCAGGACTGCTGCTACCAGGACTGCTGCTACCAGGACTGCTGCTGCCAGGACTGCTGCTGCCAGGACTGCTGCTACCAGGACTCCTGCTACCAGGACTCCTGCTACCAGAACTCCTGCTGCCAGGACTGCTGCTACAGGATTGCTGCTACCAGGACTGCTGCTGCCAAGGACTGCTGCTGCCAGGGACTGCTGCTGCCAGGACTGCTGCTACCCAGGACTGCTGCTACCAGGACTGCTGCTACCAGGACTGCTGCTGCCAGGACTGCTGCTGCCAGGACTGCTGCTACCAGGACTGCTGCTACCAGGACTGCTGCTACCAGGACTGCTGCTACCAGGACTGCTGCTGCCAGGACTGCTGCTGCCAGGACTGCTGCTGCCAGACTGCTGCTGCCAGGACTGCTGCTACCAGGACTGCTGCTGCCAGGACTGCTGCTGCCAGGACTGCTGCTGCCAGGACTGCTGCTGCCAGGACTGCTGCTACCAGGACTGCTGCTGCCAGAACTGCTGCTGCCAGGACTGCTGCGCTGCCAGGACTGCTGCTGCCAGGACTGCTGCTACCAGGACTGCTGCTGCCAGGACTGCTGCTGCCAGGACTGCTGCTGCCAGGACTGCTGCTACCAGGACTGCTGCTGCCAGGACTGCTGCTGCCAGGACTGATGCTGCCAGACTGCTGCTACCAGGACTGCTGCTACCAGGACTGCTGCTACCAGACTGCTGCTGCCAGGACTGCTGCTACCAGGACTGCTGCTGCCAGGACTGCTGCTACCAGGACTGCTGCTGCCAGGACTGCTGCTACCAGACTGCTGCTACCAGGACTGCTGCTACCAGGACTGCTGCTGCCAGGACTGCTGCTGCCAGGACTGCTGCTGCCAGGACTGCTGCTACCAGGACTGCTGCTACCAGGACTGCTGCTGCCAGACTGCTGCTACAGGACTGCTGCTACCAGACTGCTGCTGCCAGGACTGCTGCTGCCAGGACTGCTGCTGCCAGGACTGCTGCTACCAGGACTGCTGCTACCAGGACTGCTGCTGCCAGGACTGCTGCTGCCAGGACTGCTGCTACCAGGACTGCTGCTGCCAGGACTTCTGCTACCAGGACTGCTGCTAGCAGGACTGCTGCTACCAGGACTGCTTCTGCCAGGACTGCTGCTACCAACTCTGCTGCTGCCTGGACTTCTGCTACCAGGACTGCTGCTAGCAGGACTGCTGCTACCAGGACTGCTGCTGCCAGGACTTCTGCTACCAGGACTGCTGCTACCAGGACTGCTGCTACCAGGACTGCTGCTACCAGGACTGCTGCTGCCAGGACTGCTGCTACCAGGACTGCTGCTGCCAGGACTGCTGCTACCAGGACTGCTGCTTCCAGGACTGCTGCTGCCAGGACTGCTGCTACCAGGACTGCTGCTACCAGGACTGCTGCTACCAGGACTGCTGCTGCCAGGACTGCTGCTACCAGGACTGCTGCCAGGACTACTGCTACCAGGACTGCTGCTACCAGGACTGCTGCTACCAGGGCTGCTGCCAGGGCTGCTGCTACCAGGACTGCTGCTGCCAGGACTGCTGCTGCCAGGACTGCTGCTGCCAGTATTGCTGCTACCAGGACTGCTGCTCCCAGGGCTGCTGCTACAAGGACTGCTGCTACCAGGACTGCTGCTACCAGGACTTCTGCTACCAGGGCTGCTTCTACCAGGACTGCTGCTACCAGGACTGCTGCTACCAGGACGACTGCTACAAGGACTGCTGCTTCCACGACTGCTGATACCACGACTGCTGCTACAACGACTGCTGCTACCACGACTGCTGCTACCACGACTGCTGCTACCACGACTGCTGCTACCACGACTGCTGCTACCACGACTGCTGCTACCAGGACGACTGCTACAAGAACGACTGCTACCAGGACTGCTGCCAGGACTACTGCTACCAGAACTGCTGCTACCAGGACTGCTGTTACCAGGACTGCTGCTACCAGGACTGCTGTTACCAGGACTGCTGCTACCAGAACTGCTGCTACCAGGACTGATGCTACGAGGACGACTGCTACCAGGACTGCAGCTACCAGGGCTGCTGCTACCAGGACTGCTGCTACCAGGACGACTGCTACCAGGACTGCTGCTACCAGGACTGCTGCCACCACGACTGCTGCCACCACGACTGCTGCCACCGCGACTGCTGCTACCAGGACTGCTGCTACCAGCGCGACTGCTACCAGGACGACTGCTACCAGGACGACTGCTACCAGGACGACTGCTACCAGGACGACTGCTACCAGGACGACTGCTACCAGGACTGCTGCCAGGACTACTGCTACCAGGACTGCTGCTACCAGGACTGCTGTTACCAGGGCTGCTGCTACCAGGACTGCTGTTACCAGGACTGCTGCTACCAGGACTGCTGCTACCAGGACTGCTGCTACCAGGACGACTGCTACCAGGACTGCTGCTTCCACGACTGCTGCTACCACGACTGCTGCTACCACGACTGCTGCTACCACGACTGCTACCACGACTGCTGCTACCACGACTGCTGCTATCACGACTGCTGTTACCAGGACGACTGCTACCAGAACTGCTGCCAGGACTACTGCTACCAGAACTGCTGCTACCAGGACTGCTGTTACGAGGACTGCTGCTACCAGGACTGCTGTTACCAGGTCTGCTGCTACCAGGACTGCTGCTACCAGGACTGATGCTACCAGGACTGATGCTACCAGGACTGATGCTACCAGGGCTGCTGCTACCAGGACTGCTGCTACCAGGACTGCTGCAACCAGGACTGCTGCTACCAGAACTGCTGCTACCAGGACTGCTGCTACCAGGACGACTGCTACCAGGACTGATGCTACCAGGACTGCTGCCACCACGACTGCTGCTACCACGACTGCTGCTACCAGGACTGCTGCTACCAGGGCGACTGCTACCAGGACGACTTCTACCAGGACGACTGCTACCAGGACGACTGCTAGCAGGACGACTGCTGCTACCAGGACTGCTGTTACCAGGACTGCTGCTACCAGGACTGCTGTTACCAGGACTGCTGTTACCAGGACTGCTGCTACCAGGACTGCTGCTACCAGGACTGCTGCTACCAGGACGACTGCTACCAGGACGACTGCTACCAGGACTGCTGCTACCAGGACTGCTGCTACCAGGACTGCTGCTACCAGGACGACTGCTACCATGACTGCTGCCAGGACTACTGCTAGAAGGACGACTGCTACCAGGACTGCTGCTACCAGAACTATCAGAACTGCTGCTACCAAGGCCACTGCTACCAGGACTAATGCTACCAGGACTACTGCTACCAGAACTACTGCTACCAGGACTGCTGTGACGAGTACTGCCCATTATTGTGCGTGGGTACTCACCTAGTTGTGGTTGCAGGGGAAGAGTAACAGCTCCTGGCCCTAACATGTTGGTGCCTGAAGCATTCCAGAACTGTTTCCAGCATCTTAACCCTCCACATCTCTGGTCCTCCATGTGGCTCCAGGTTTTCCCAGTTGAAATCCCCCATAACGAGGAACTTTCCTCTGCCCACTTGGGCCCTTTTGGCCACCTTGGCTAGTGTGTCCACCATCGCTCTGCTCTCATCGTACTGTTGTTTTGATCTCTTGCAGTTCAGTGGCGGGTTGTACATCGCTGTTATTATATCTTTTGGAGCCCCGATTTGAAGCGTTCTTACTGTGTAATTATCTGCTTCTCCTCTAGCCAGTCCTCCCATCTTAAGATTCCATTGGTTTTTGATGAGCAATGCAGCTCCTCGTCCCCCTCTGTTTCCCCCTGTCTTTTCTCAGGATCTGATAGCCTGTGGGCAAGATTGCATCTGTTATCACACATTTTTGTCTTGAATGTCAGTTTGACTGGGTGTTTTTCTTCCTCGAGTATCCTACTAGTATCTGAAAATTTGTCAGCTGGGTGATGTCCTTCTCTCTTGTTATCGGGATAATGTTCTCACTTTCTTTTCACCTCTCCCTGTCTTCTTTCATCGTAGGTCTTCCTTCTGCCTTATGAAGCCCAGGGATAAAAAGCGACTTCTCCCTCTCCTCTTCCTATTTCTTTTCCCTCCATGTCTCTGGATCATATTTGAGCATCTCTTTAATCTACTAAATATCCTGGTGGCCTGATAATGCTTCTCTTCTACAAGAAACTTCTTAGCACCTTTCCCTATCTCAATCGCCTGAATGTCCACTGATGTTCCTGTTCCCAGCACCGTGCTCCTTTTGATCATCACTATAACTCGCTTCAGCACATTCAGTTCCTCCATCAGCCTCTGCATCTTTGTCTCAGTGGCTACAGCTCATGACTCCCACTTCTGTTCTCTATAGTTGAGTGAGTGAGAGAAATTGTGTTTCAAGCTGGGTAAAATGGCTAGTGAAACTCGAAAAATACTTCAGCAAATATATGACGACAAAGTAATGGGCAGGATACAGTGTTTTGAATACTTTTCTCGATTCAAAGCAGAGCTATATGCAAGCTTAGTATTTGGTTTATTTACAGATTTCTGCAACAGATAAACTAATCAGTAGTCTTTCTGACTACAAAATTTATCATTATTATTATTATTATTATTATTTAATGGGCTCACAGAGAGATTACATGCCTGCTACGAGGCCAGAGATAGGAGTGTCGTCGCTGGAAGGTGGACACGACTACTACCAAGCTTGTCTCAGGTTCCATACCAGCACCAACCTCACACCCCAGGAGGTCCATAACCTGGGTCTCGCAGAAGTAGACAGGATAGAAAAACTGGTGCAAAAGGTAGTGTGTAAATATCATCCAAAGATATTTGACGAATAATTCAAGCAAAATGCAGGTTATGTGTTGATGCTTAATACTTGTAATGAACCTTTCAACTATCTTCGGAATTATGGACAAAAAATATTCATGGAAATTGCATCAATATAATTAAGTCATTTAAAAACCATCTTTCAGCTAAAACATTCTATTATAGTGAACTATTTGACACTTTTGGCAAAATATATTAAATATATTGAAAAATAATTTGCTTAATGTGTAAGACTCAGATATCAATTTATGAAACCACTTGCAGACAGCTGCTGAGATTGGGATGGAAGGAAAGACATTTTCTGAGATCAGTCAAGCCTTGAGGGAAGACCCAGACCAAGGATTCAGTAACAAGGAGGATGTGCTCAGTACCTCTAGAAATGCTGTCTATAATGTCATTATGCCTCTGATGCCTCAGCTATTTACAACTGTGCCACAAGAAAATGTTACGTGAGTTTTTTATCCATTAAATTGAGTTTCATTTAACTTCATTCAATTCATATTTATCGGTTTTCACATAATTACTAAAGTGACTTACCTAATATGATTTCGACTTGAAGTAATAACTTATCTGAAATTTTCAGAATTAGTGTAAGTATCTGGGCTCAGTAGCCCCCCTTGAGAATAATTATTTATCCTCTTTAGTGTGCGCCTGCTAACCATCAGGCCACAGGTTCACACTCCTTTACTTTTCAATGTATACCATAGCGTTACATTTAGTGTATTGTAAAATCCATATGTACTGACCAGAAAAGTAAAGCATGAGCGTCTCTTTGTGTGGAACTCGAGATGACACTGTAGTGTCTGTAAAATTTAAGTTTGAGCAGCAGTTGATGCTTCTCACATGTGAATCCGTATCAAAGCAATCATTCGAGATGTTTTATTAGGGTGTGTCCCTGGTAACCATCGGGTTACTAGTAGTAGCAACTGAGAGTGGCTACTGTTATTCTTTCAAGGGTGTTCTTGCTTTTATAAATTAGTTGAGTGACTGTAGCAATGTAGGGACTATATTGGGCAATATACCCTGGATAGAGTAAGATTTGGTTCCTGGAAAATTCAGCGCTTATGGTTGTATTACTGTGGATGTTAGAACTTCACAACTACGCTGCTCTTCACACCAACTCCAAGGCTGAGGGAGTGATTACCTCATCTTTGAAACATAATTCTAATGTTTTCAAATTATATTCTAGAATTTGTATTGATAAAGCTACTGGATGGCGAAACATCTACATTAAAGATACCCAGATGTTGCATGTGTGTGTCTAAATTTCATCCTGTCGGTGTTGTATACCATTCACGTACATTGGTAAAACTAAACGTTATCTGAAGTCTCGTGTCTTTGAACACTTAAACAGATCTATTAGAACATATACCAATATTGTGAAACCACAGTCAATACATGAAAATGATCACTATGTTGTCCAGTCGATTCAATACCACTGTGCTGGCAATATTAGTCCCTCAGTACACTATTACAGACAAACCTTCACTATGTAAAAATGAACGGCCAATAGTTACGTTTAGTTTTTTTATTTTAATTCTTTTTTCTTTTCTATTACTTGAGTAAATTTGATGGTTAGCATACGTTTTATTTCTGAAACTTAGAGCTAATTTTTATTTTGTACAGAAAACTAGTGAATAAATGATGTTTCAGGTGTCAGTGCTGGATTTCATATTTCTTATATACATTTATTTTCTCTTTTCGTTAAAAAAAATCTTAATATTATTTTTAAAAAGAAACATTTTTCTTACGCAGAGTAGAAGGTGATGACGACCCCAACGCTTCCTATGCTATGTACATATCACCATATATCGATGGATCAAGACTCGGCTCATTTATTCTCGGCACTTATAATTATACAATGCAGTAAGCAGATAAAATTTATGGTTTGATAAATTATTAGATCAATTTTATGTAAATTTAATTCCTAATGAACAGTAGCTTGTTTCAGCAGATATTCCTGTATTAAGGTACATTACGTAGGCACGGGTAATAATACACAAATAGTGAATGATTTCTGTGTTTTGGTAATCTGCACATTTAGAAAATGTTCAAAAATTGTTAAGCTTGGGGATAACCTGGGCTTGTGAATCTTGTACCAAATCGGAGTTTTTAATCTCGTGTACAAGTGATCAGGTTATGACTCGCGAGCAGCGTTCAACTCTTGCGTATCTAATGTGACTCAACACGGCAATATCCTGAAGGAAGTAAAGATGGATGTTATCCCACGCACGGCAATGAATCAAAAAGTTTGGTTTGATCAGGGTTTTAAACTTATAAATTACACTAGACAGACTTAACTAGGCACCTAACAATAGTTCTTTGGATATTCTTTGACGCATAATTACAGGCATACTATCATCTTTGATGCATAACCCCGATATACTATCACTTTGATGCATAACACAGATATACTTATCTTTGATGAAATATCCACGCATACTATCAATCTTTTGCTATCACAGTCATATTTATCATCTTGATGAAATTTTCACAACAACTTACTATCATCTTTATGCATATCACACAAGCATACTAATCATCTTATGCTTATCACACCATACTATCATCTTTATGCATAACACAGATATACTATCATCTTTGATCTTTAACACAGATATACATCATCTTTAATTTGCAAACACAGGTATACTATAAACTTTGATGCATATCACAGGCATACTATCATCTTTGAGGGCATACACAGATATACTACATCTTGATGCATATCACACCATACTATTCACTTTGATGCATAACACGATATACTTTTCATCTTTGATAAATATCACACCAAAACTATCTTCTTTGATGCATTCACAGGCATACTATCACTTTGATGCATATCAAAACGCTTTACTATCATCTTTGATGCATAACCCCAGATATACTATCATCTTTGATGCATAACACAGAATACTATCATCTTTGATGCATAACACAGATATATTACATTTTTAAAATGCATAACACAGGTAAAACTATCACTTTGATGCATAACACAGATAATATCATCTTTTGATGCAAAACACGGGTATACTATAAATCTTTAAAGCATAACACAGATATACTATCATCTTTGATGCATAACACAGATATACTATCATCTTTAATGCATAACACAGTATACTATCATCTTTGATGCAAAACACAGGCATACTATAAATTTTGATGCATACCCACACAACATTCATCTTTGAGTTGTCACAGCATAATATCATCTTTGATGGCAATATTACACGCATTACTATCATCTTTATGTATAACGACAATATACTATCATCTTTGTTTTATATTCACAGTTATACTTTTCATCTTGATGCATATCAAGGCATACTATCATTTTGATGCATAACACAGATTCTAATCATTCTTTCGTGCAAACACAGTGATACTATATGTTTATGCTAACACGTGCATATTATCATCTTTCTGCATAACACAGGTATACCTATCATAAAATCTATGATAAACACAGATAACATTTTTCTTCAGTGAGTGCATAACACAGCATTACCTAATCTTTGATGCATAACACAGCATATACTGATCAATTGATGCTAACACAATTACTTATATCTTTAATGCATAAGCACAGAAATACTATAACATCTTTGATCATTAACAATATACTACATCTTTGTTAACACAGATATTCTATCATCTTAAGGTGCATACACAGGATATACTATCATCATTTGAATGCATATCACTAGGTATTCTAATCATCTTTGATGCATAAACAGTTTTACTAACATCTTTGATGCATTAACACAGATTACTATCATCTTGTGCATAACACAGGTAACTATCATTTTGATGCATAACACAGGTCATACTATCATCTTTGATGCAAACACGGCATTACTATCATCTTTGATGATAACACAGATGATTTATCATCTTGCATGCATAACCAGGTATAGTATCACTTTATAGCATATCACAGGTATACTAATCACTTGAATAGCATAACACAGATTACTATCATCTTTGATGCATAACACAGGCATACTATCATCTTTGATGCATAACACGATCATACTATCATCTTTGATGCATAACACAGATATCTAATCATCTTTGATGCATAACACAGCAACTACTATCATCTTTATGCATAACACAGGTATACTATCATCTTTGATGCATACACAGACATACTATCATCTTTGATGCATAACACAGGTATACTATCATCTTTGATGCATAACACAGGTATACTATCATCTTTGATGCATAACACAGATATACTATCATCTTTGATGCATAACACAGGATATACTATCATCTTTGATGCATAACACAGGTATACTATCATCTTTGATGCATAACACAGATATACTATCATCTTTGATGCATAACACAGATATACTATCATCTTTGATGCATAACACAGGCATACTATCACTTTGATGCATAACACAGGTATACTATCATCTTTGATGCTAACACAGCATACTATCACTTTGATGCATAACACAGGCATACTATCATCTTTGATGCATAAACACACGCATACTATCACTTTGATGCATAACACAGTATACTATCATCTTTGATGCATAACACAGATACTATCATCTTTGATGCATAACACAGGATATATCATCTTTGAATGCATAACACAGGTATACTATCATCTTTGATGCATAACACAGATACTATCATCTTTGATGCATAACACAGGTATACTATCATCTTTGATGCATAACACAGATACTATCATCTTTGATGCATAACACAGATACTATCATCTTTGATGCATAACACAGCACATCTATCATCTTTGATGCATAAACAGCATACTATCATCTTTGATGCATAACACAGGTATACTATCATCTTTGATGCATAACACAGGCATACTATCATCTTTGATGCATAACACAGGCATACTATCATCTTTGATGCATAACACAGGTATACTATCATCTTTGATGCATAACACAGGCATACTATCATCTTTGATGCATAACACAGGCATACTATCATCTTTGATGCATAACACAGGTTACTATCATCTTGATGCATAACACAGGCATACTATCATCTTTGATGCATAACACAGGCATATCTATCATCTTGATGCATAACACAGGCATACATCATCTTTATGCATAACACAGTATACTATCATCTGTGATGCATAACACAGGCATACTATCATCTTTGATGCATAACACAGGCATACTATCATCTTTGATGCATAAACAGCATACTATCATCTTTGATGCATAACACAGGCATACTATCATCTTTGATGCATAACACAGATACTATCATCTTTGATGCATAACACAGGTATACTATCATCTTGATGCATAACACAGGCATACTATCATCTTCGATGCATAACACAGGCATACTATCATCTTTGATGCATAACACAGGTATACTATCATCTTTGATGCATAACACGATACTATCATCTTTGATGCATAACACAGGATACTATCATCTTTGATGCATAACACAGGTATACTATCATCTTTGATGCATAACACAGATATACTATCATCTTTGATGCATAACACAGTATACTATCATCTTGATGCATACACAGGTATACATCATCTTTGATGCATAACACAGGTATATATCATCTTGATGCATAACACAGTATACAATCATCTTTATGCATAACACAGGTATACTATCATCTTTGATGCATAAACAGGCATACTATCAGCTTTGATGCATAACACAGGCATACTATCACTTGATGCATAACACAGCACACTATCATTTTCAATGCATAACACGTATACTATCATCTTTGTTGCATAAAACATATACTACATCTTGATGCATAACACGGTATCTACACTTTGAGCATAACACAGTTACATCATCTTGAGCATAACAAGTAACTACATCTTTATGCATAACCGATACTATCTCTTTGATGCATACACAGGCATACTCATCTTATGCTAACACAGAAACTACACTTTGATGCATACACGTGTACTATCAGCTTTGATGAAACCAATAACATTAAAAAAATAAAAAAAAAAACACAACCAGGCATACTATCACTTTGATGCATAACACAGCATACTATCAGCTTATGCTAACACAGGATACTTTCATTTGATGCTACACAGCTCTATCTCTTTGGCATACACGGCATACTATCAGCTTTGATGCATAACACAGGAACTATCACTTGATGCAAAACAGCATTATCACTTTGAGCATACACAGGATACATCAGCTTTGTGCATAACACAGGCTACATCATCTTGTGCTAACCAGATTGAGAACAGGCAAACCGGCAAAAGGTACCCC